GTACGTAGTACGTAGTACGTAGTAGTAGTAGTAGTAGTAGTAGTAGAGTAGTAGTAGTAGAGTAGTAGAGAGTAGTAGTAGTAGTAGAGAGAGAGAGAGAGAGAGAGAGAGAGAGAGAGAGAGAGAGAGAGAGAGAGAGAGAGAGAGGGGTGTGCAGTAGAGAGAGGGGTGTGCGCAAGGAGTGAGAGTGAGTGTGAGAGCAAGGGAGAGAGTGAGAGTAAAGAGAGGGTGACGAGTTGAATGTTTTTTTTGTTGCTTTTCGTATATATTTTGCGATTTATTCCATAATCAGGTATTTGGATTGAAACACGAATGTTGCATGGGTTTCAATGCATTGGATTTCTAAGATTTATGTGATACATTTGGATTTAGGATCAAAATATGAATGTTGTGTTGGTTGCTTTGTCTGGATTTGACATTTTATTGGATAATCTTATATTTGATCAGAGCATGAATACTGAATTTGTTGCGCTGTTATAAAACTTTCCATTTGTATGAATATTGAATTTGTTGCCCTGATATAAAACTTGCCACTTATATAAAATGGGGAGAGAGAGATAGAGGTGTAGGAATTGGGAGAGAGGTGTAGGAATACTGTCAAACTGGAGTCATATGTTTTTGGAAGTAGATTCGACATATATGGAACCCAAGATTATAATGTACAAAACCTTGGACCATGTTTGATGGGAGTGGGAATTTATTTCGAAATAATGCTGGAAATCCACTAATGGTTGGAACGTGATCCCTTTTATTTGGGAGTGAGATCTCAAAATTGAAAAACCGGGGTCCCTATGATATCCCTAGGAGGAACTGTGGGATCGAGGTTCTGGAGCGGGAATGCCACCTTACCCCCCCCACGGTTCCCTTAACTATGGTTTTGTCCCCATTATTCCCAATCATTTTTTTAGATAGGGAAACCAATGTAGCATTCAGGTTTTTGAGCATCCAAATACCGTTAAAGATCTACATAAGGATCTGCACCACATCCAATTCAACAAGGTTTTAGAGAAGGTTGAACGCGAGATCCAAGGGGAAAAGAACTAGTATGAAAAAGGAGGATAGCTAAGAAAAAGGAAGAAAATAAGAAATCTTTGAGATCTTCGCTGAGGTCATCCTATAATTTTTTGTTTTATGTAAAGATAAAACTTCTTATTGACATATGTTGGCTTGGGGGCTTGCTTATAATACTAGCACAGTCTTTTAAAATTCTTAGTTATATCTTTGTAGAATGCATCAATATTAGGAAACTTAGAAGATTGATTCAAATTATTACCTTTCCTATTAAATCCAATTTGAACGTTATTGAAGACAGTAGACAGACGTGAATATAGTAGCTACTACTATAGGTAAATGGTTTTTGTTCTTTTTGTTTTTTTTTAATTGATGGCTGATTTTTGGAAATTTGTATCAAGCAATTCTTCCCTGTGGTCATGGCCCTCTTATTGGAACTTTTGCTCCACCCTACACGGATATTGTAACTATATGGTGATTGGAGAATAATGGCAGTATTTTATTGTGTCCTCAAATAAAATTCAACCTATGTGATTTTTTAGGAGAAAAGGCAGCAGCTTCTCAACGAAATACGAACTCTATGTGAAGCCCCTTGTGCTCAAGGTCTAGTTGAATTCCATGGTGCATTTTATAGTCCTGATTCTGGACAAATCAGCATTGCATTGGAGTACATGGATGGGGGGTCACTTGCAGATGTGTTACGAGTACACAAGTTCATATCCGAACCTATTCTTGCATCTATGGTTCAGAGACTTTTGCAGGTAAGTTTTGTGATTTACGCCTCCTCTTCTTATGTGATTAGTTTGACATAATCTAGAGACATACAATTGTTTCCACTTTCCATTGCTAAGTGTGATTTATGATGTGCAAAGGGACTGAATTACTTGCACAGTGTACGACATCTAGTCCACAGAGATATCAAGCCTGCAAATTTGCTTATAAATCTTAAGGGGGAGCCAAAGATCACTGATTTTGGTATAAGTGCTGGTCTAGAGAATTCAATGGCAATGGTATATGATGCCTTGAAATATTTTTTATGATGCAAGAACTTTTGTCATTCTACTGCTATACTTGCAAAAAGATATTAGGGTTTCTGATAATTCTTATACCTCCATGCATCTGATCAGTGTGCAACGTTTGTTGGCACTGTTACATATATGTCACCTGAGAGAATTCGAAATGAGAGCTACTCATATCCAGCTGATATATGGAGCCTTGGATTGGCAATCTTTGAATGTGGAACTGGCGAGTTTCCATATACGGCAACTGAGGGACCGGCTAATCTCATGCTTCAGGTAATATTTTGCAGTTCTAACCTTGTGATTCTTCTAAAGAAATTTGTTGATTTTATTTATTTCCATAGAAATTTGAACATGATTCTGTACATGCGAGCTTTTTCTGTCTTTTATCTGGTCACCGAACAAATTTTGGAAACACCTTTATGTATGATATGTTAAAATTCATTATTAAATTAAATGCATCTTTTCTTTAACATGTGGCAATTCAATTCCCAATTTAGAGGAAAAGTATGTCTCTAGTTTCAAGTGCATACTTAATGCCAAAATTTCAACTGCCAAAGCAAAGATCCATTCCATTCAGAATTTCATTTAGTTAGTAATAAGGGGCTTTCATTAATATGAAATATAGGCAGGAAAGTTACTGTAATAGAAAAATGATGAGATTTATGAGAGCGAAGTATCATAGCATAACAACCAAATCAAAAGAGCTATAATACAAATTTACTTGGTAATGCTAACTCTCCCACCTTCTATTCCCTGGTTTCCTTTGGCAGCCCCATCCATGATGAGTGCTAAGAAAGTATTTACATCAGGAGCATCCCCTGTCTTCATCCACGGTTAAATTCTTGAGAAAGTGGCTTGGTTGTTGTCTCAAATTATGTTGTTTTGGCAGTAGAATAAAGCCACTGCTGTCTTTGGTAGAACTACAATGCTGAGAATTTTAGAACTCTGAAGTTGGCATGGTCGGATGTCTGGTCAGGTTTAATAAGTTGTGTTGTGAATATGTGTATCATGGTCTTCAACATCTAATTAAGATCAATGATGTTTGAGACCGGACTGGCCTGTTCAAACTAGATACTGGTGGCCTCTCCAGTCCAGTCTACCCCCTGGACGGGATGATCTAGTGAATTGGTGCTATACTGATGGATCAGTCAGTCCGATGTTGAGACTGGATGGTCCATTGGTTCAACATCACACCGGCTAGTCCCGTTGGGTTTGGAACATGACGTAAAAGACCCCTTTTTATCAAAAAAATCACTTTTAGGGAGTTTGTTTTTCTTCCTTATGAAATAATTTAAGGGGGTGTTTGCTCTTTAAGTTAGGGATGGTTTGGGGGCTAAAGAAGTGGCTTTTTAGGGAGAGAGAGAGAGAGAGGTACTTTGGCAATTTTTGCTCTCTAGCTCTCTATCTATCCGTGTGTGCTTGTGTGTGAGTGTGAGTGTGTGCGCGCGTGTGCATGTTTGTGTCCAAAATCACAATTTTCTGGGTGAAAATTCGGCAACTTTCGGGGAGGATTTTGGCCAGCAATCCACCTTATTTCAAGCCCCAAATAAGTTTACTACATCTTTTTTTAAGTTTTTGTTATATATTTGAAGAATAAAAAATCATAATTTTTAGGGTTCTTGCAAGTAATACTTTGTTTAACCTTTTTTCTTTTTCAGATCAATGGAATAAGTTGTTTCTTGTATTCATGTCAATGGTTGTTTTCGTTTTAATAAATTTAGGGTTGTTTGTTTTTGCTTATTTGGTAGCTTATATTCATTCTTCTGTATAAATATGAGGTTTTTTTTTGCAGTTTTTTGTTTTCATTTGCTTTTTTATTTTATTTTTGGATTTTAAAACTTCGATGGAACAAAGAAGAGCCGAGCAATGGGCTTGTGTTTGGGTGGTCAGGGTGGCAGAAACACAACATTCCTCCATATCTATAGCCATTAACATGTTAAAAAAAAAAAGGAACCCAAGAGAATATTGATAGATGAAGTTTGTTGCATATTGTTGGGTTACTGGAGTGTATCATGAGTATGGAATTGAGATATGAATATATAGTAGGTCATGCTTTTAATTTTCTTTCTAAGAAACCTTTTAATTTTTCAATTTTTATTAAATTTTTCTATTTTTCCGTAATTTTCTCCTTTTCCATTTTTCATAATTTTTATTTTTTTAATTTATTCGGTCGGTTTAGCCATTGAACCGGTCTAGACATATTGTCTGACAAGACCGGAGCCCTCATTGGTTCAGCCACTGATCCGGTCTTAACGACATCGATGAAAATGCATATATTTTAGACACATTTCTCATTGTTGCATAGAACTCATGCAGATCACTGATCAAAAAGGAAAAAGAGAGAAAGAGAGATAACTTGTCCACGTAGCATAAGATCCTTTGGAGTTGGAGTTCCTCAATTTATGTACTCTCCCTAGGATCTTCTTCTGAAGCCTATGATAATCTCATGGATGGGGGACCATGTTTTCATAGTAAGACCACATTTTCCTACTATGCTTTCAACCTTGAACTTAGGATTCTATGTGGTCCTTATTAGAGTTAGGGAACACTAGGTGAGGTTTTGAGAACAAAACAAAAATATGTAAATTTGGCCAAGTCTGGAAAGCTTTCAGTGGATAGAAGATCGCATTTTCACAGCATATGGTGGATGCTTTTCTTTACTGGTATGTATACAAACCTAATGTTCCCTGAAAAATAAAGCTTTATGCATTTAAGTTTGATCATTTTTAGCCACGAATGATTGCTTCTTACTCTTAAAGTGTGGATTTTATATGTCTAGTTTCACTAGATGTATTAGAAATGTCTCAAGCAAATGGATTTGCTAGGTGTCATTTGCAGAAGATAACAAGTTCCCTATATACATGACAGATATTGTATGATCCATCACCATCACCTCCAAGAGACTCATTTTCTCCAGAATTCTGTTCATTTATTGATGCTTGCCTACAAAAGGATGCAGAAGCTAGGCCAACTGCAGAGCAGGTCAGACTTTTTATATCCTTCCTCATTGAAAATATCTTGTCATTTGAATTAAAATCTTATCATTGAAAATATCTTATCATTTGTAATTTTTTTTTTTTTGGATACTGTTATCATTGTATTGATGGTTAAAGAAGTACAATACAAAATGTTTCCAAGGGGAGTGACAGAAGAGGAAAACAAAACAAAAACAGGGATCAAAGCGCCCCGATGTTACAGTAGTCCACGACATACAAAAATCAAAAAATTTGGCCCACGAAATTGGCAAGAGAAGCATTTATCTTGGAAGTAGAGTGGAGGCAGCTCCTTGTTTTGCTAGCCCGTCAGTGACCTGGTTGGCCTCCCACCAGATATGAGTCCAGGAGACTGGCATATCCCTGCAACAGTCAAAGATAGTGTCAAAGATGTGCCATAGCCTCCACGGGGATTGGGCTTCTCCGGAAGCCCAAGAAATGATATTTTGCGAGTCCCCTTCCACTCGAAGGGGAAGGCCCCAAGAGCAATCAAAGCGTTGACGGCCTATGGTTGCCCAAGGGTGAGCCGTTGAAGTTGAGTTTGACTGCACCACTCTCCAGTGGTCTTCAGAGCCTTGACTGAGGCATTGAGATGTGCCGGAGAATATGGGCCCAGATGGACAGAAAAGTAGACTCGGAAATGCCTCTAAAGAGTTTGTGGTTGGAGGCCTAGAAGGTGACTGAGCCCCTTAAGGAATCGATTAGTTTCGATAGGGGTGCAGTCTCCCCTTGGAATATGCGATTGTTGTGTTCTTTCTAAATGGTCCACAGTGTGGCACCTATCGTGGCTTTCAAGAGCAGCGCCCCAGCTTTCGGCCGGGGGAGGACAGACGAGTTGGAGACGAGGCTGGGGATGTCCGCAGGTGTGACCCAGGATCATCCGAAAAGTGAAAGGTTGGATTGCCAAAGTGCTGCAACAGTTGGGCAGTGAAGGAAGAGATGCGTGTTGGTCTCCTTGGCTTCCAAGCAGATAGAGCAGCTATTTGAAATTGGCAGGCCTCTCACTTGTAGGATATCTACTGTAATTACCCTTTCCCACAGAGCTAGCCATAGGAAGAACTGGATTCTGGGTGGGATGATGGTGGTCCAAGCTTTAAGAATGACTGTTTGGCATGGCAAGGGATCAGCAGAGAAGAAGGAACAATAGCGGGCGGCCACAGTGAACCTCCCGGAGTTGGAGGCAGACCAGATTATTCGGTCGTCACCCCTTATGAGTGGGGGGTAGGAGGCAATGAGGAGAGAATGTTCGTGGAAGACAGAGAGTTCAAATCACGTAAAGAACGACGGAAGTCAGGCTTCCAACTCTTAGGTTCGCTATCTACGGGGAAGAGAGAATGGTGGCGGATGGGTCACGTGCTAGACGAAAGAGGGAGGGGAATTGAGAAGAGAGAGGGGAGGGGACCAACCAGGGTCTAACCAGAAGCGTATACTGGACCCATCCCTAGGGGAGAAATGGATGTGGTCTTTGAAGAGGGAGAGAGAGTGAAGGATGGAGCAACGGAAACCCAATACTGGGAGCAGGACGGGATAGACCAAGGTGAGGAGGATAGCCGGTATTTGGAAGAGAGGATGTGGTGCTAAAGGTGGTTTCCTTGGGTAGCTAGTCTTCACCACCATTTGCAAAGGAGAGCAAGGTTAGCTACTTCGAGGCTGCGGATTCCCAGATCCCCAAGGGCTTTGTGGTAGCAGACCTTGTGGCAAGCAAGTAGGTGAAATTTCATGGGAAACCTGTCTTCGGACAAAAGGAAGTTCCTCATGAGTTGATCCAACCGGTTGCGGACAGAGGCCGGGAGGTGAAGCAAAGACATGAGGTAGATAACGATGCCAGAAAGGACGGCTTTGATGAGTGTGGGTCTATCAGCGGGAGAGAGGAATCTCCCTATCCAGGAAGCCAGTTTCTTCTCGACTCTGTCTAGGATAGGGTTACATTGAGATTTCCGAGGCTTTCCAAAGCAGAATGTTAGACCCAGGTAAGATGAGGGTGGGGCCTTAGTGCCACATCTCCATTGGTCCACAAAGCATTGAAAAGCGGTCGGGTTGAAGTTGACTTTGAACCTTGTGGCAAAGTGGAAGCTGGGGATGAACAAAAGCAGGTTATTGACTTGGGCAAATGAGGCCTGGTAAAAGAGCAAGGTGTTGTCGGCATATTGAAGGTGGGCTATGGATTGAGTGCCTATGTTGAAGCCCAAGGCTAGGCCTTCTTGGTAAAGCCTGTCCGTGGACCTGCTGAAGACTTTGGCGATGATGGCAAAGAGAAAGGGGGAAAGAATATCTCCCTGTCTCAAGCCCGGTGGGACTAAAAGAATCTGTGACTAGATCCATTGATGAGGATGGAGAAGAAAGGGCGACGGATGCAGCCTCGAATCCATTTCCTCCAGCAAGCTCTAAAGCCCATCCTTCTTTTGGTTTCTTTGAGGAGGTCCTAGTTGACTTGGTCATAGGCCTTTTCCTAGTCCAATTTGATAATGAGGCCAGGAGATTCTCCAACATGCGCGAGTGGATGCACTCGTGGGTGATCAATGCCCCATCATAGATCTGACGATCCTTGACGAAGTCTGATTGGTTAGGTGAGATGATGGAGTTGAGAACATTTTTCAGCCTGGTGGCAAGGACTTTGGCCAAGATTTTATAGGAACTGTAGATGAGACTGATAGGCTTGAAGTCCTTAAGTTTCGTGTTCCCTTCGATTTTGGGGATGAGGGCTATGAATGTAGCGTTCATACTCTAACTAATGATTTCCCTAGTGTGGAATTCAGTAAGGGAGAGAAAATCCAGGTGGAAGACTTCCTATTAGCGGTTAAAGGTAGCCACTGGGAAGCCGTCGGGTCTTGGGGCATGGTCTTGGCCAAGCTCCCTGACGACCTTCAAAATCTCGGGCTAGTTGAACGGTCTCTCGAGCCATGAGGCTTGTGCTTGGGAGATGGAGGAAAAGGACAAGTCTCCCAAAACCAGGGCCGGCCTATGGGGTGCTTTGAAAAGGTGCTGGAAGTAGTTAAGAATCGTACTAGGAATGGCATCGGGCCATCGTGGGTTACCCCTTGATGGGAGATAAGAGCGATATAATTGTCCCTCCTACAATTTGCAATTTTGTGGAAGTAAGCTGTGTTTTGGTCTCCACAGGTAAGCCACTTGACATGTGATCTTTGTGCCCAGTTCAGTTCCTCTTTGTGAAGGATTGCTTGGCAGTCAGATTTGAGTTGGAGTCTTGAGAGGTTTTCGACTGGTGTAAGAGAGCGGGAGTCCTCGACTAGGTCAAGGTCATGAATGGAGGCTAGAATTGAGGTTATGGGAGCAAGGAAGTTCCCTGGTAGGTTGTGCCTCCATTCCTTTAGGGAGGACTTAAGGACAGAGTTTTTTCTGCAACCTAAACCCAGCCCAACCCAGCGCATGAGGGGAATAGGAAACCCAATTGTATTTTGTTGTTGAAAATATCTATCGTGTATGTCCTTTGATCTGAAGTTTGTGGAAACTTATCTGATCTTTTTCTTTCTTGGAAATATTTCTTCCTGTATCTGACACTTGAAATCTGGTATTTTCCCACATCTAACTCTTAATAAGGATCGATGATAGTTCCTCCATGATTGTAGATATACCAAGAATGAAATGGTGAGACACATAGTTATGCATCCCTCTTCTGCCAGTGAATTTGGAAAGAATTTACACTAATTGCAGAATTTCTCATGCTAATCTGAAATTCCCTGGCTCATTAATTACGCTGAACGGCTGAAGTTTGGACATATTGATTCTGTTTCCTATATTATGTTCCTATATGACTGCTCTTCCTCTCCATTTTTTGGGGTTCTATTGCACATTATCACACAAATTTGATGCTTTTTTCCTTCATATATTTCCTAATTTCGAATGTGATGCAGCTCCTATCACATCCGTTTATTAGGAAATATGAGAACATAGAAGTGGACCTATCAGCATTTGTGCGAAGTGTTTTTGATCCAACGCAGAGGTTAAAGGATTTAGCAGATGTAAGCACCTCAACGTTCTGATACACAACATTCTTATATGTGTTTTTGTTTTATTGATTTAAACTCTAAACACCATTAAAACACGCCTGTGCAGATGCTTACTGTACACTACTACATGCTATTTGATGGCCCTGATGAGCTTTGGCATCATATAAAGACTATGTATAATGATAATTCAACTTTCAGGTATTTATTTCAAGCATATTTCATGTCATAGAGCCCAATTTTTAGAACTATTACATTCCCTTTTCGAGTGCAATTGTCATGGTTTAATTTTTACGAGTTATAAAGTTCTGAACTAAGTGCAATTTTTTGTGGTTTAACTTCTCAATGTCATTCTTTGACAAATCACTTGGTTTAGAAGTTATGGTTAATTTGCTGATTTCCTTATTTATGATATTTGTCAGAAAATATTACATTTCTACAAGTTACATTTGAGAACTAGGGGACAGATATAAATGAATGTGTATTTGGTACACAATAAGAATGTGTTTGATAGTTATTTTACCCAGACACCGAAATGAGAGTCAGTTTCTCTCAAATTCAGAAGTGTGGAAGAAACATCTGTACAATGTTTTTAAAGGAATTAAGATTGATAAAAGATAAGAACAAAAAGAATATGAAAACTTACACTAAGATATAAAAATCTTGAGATTTGAACCCATATCATGAGGTTGGAGAGTTCTCTGTCATAACCAACAGGCCAAAGTTTAAGTTAATATATTATTTTTCTCCCAGAACATTATATATGTCATTGCAAGCCATTTTTGCATAAGTTCATCTTTCAAAAAGTGATGTGTTGGTAAACTTGATGTTTTGGGTAACTTAGCTGCAAACCTGTTTGCGCTACACAAATTAATTTATCATAGCAGTTGACATCATGATTTGTTCATGGAGCAATCCAGCATAACCCCACAATTTGGACTGACTACCCCCTGATTCCTATGACTGGCATTTTCAGTGGATAAGTTGTTGTTTTTAGTACAAATTCATTTTAGCAAAGGGCTTTTTAATTATGGTGACCTTTTCCAATAGATTTTAAGGTTTACTTGCAAAATTTTCTACTTCCATTTGAAATAATAAGTATTGTATGTTTGTCAGAACTAGAACTTGAGGTACTTCTGGCATTCTCTGTGATGTCATTGGATGTTTGGGATTCGACCTCAATGAAGATGAGTATGTGCTACTGAAATGGCTACTAATAAGGCTATTTTGATAGAGAGGCATGCTTCTTTGGATTTAGTAGACATAACTGATTTCCTTTTGTAATCCTAGGAATAGCTTATTTCCTCATCTTTCCATGGATTGGGACTATTGAATTTTTAGTTTTACATCTCTTGTCAGACTTGCTCACATTGGTGTTCATAATATCTATTTTTGGTTTAGTTCCTTTTTAATTTTTGCACCTGACTGCGCAATATTTGAAGCCTATTGATTGTGACACAGTATGGAATCTTATTCACTGAAGCAACTGGGTTACTTTCTCCAAGGAGTCAAAAACAATGTGAAATGTTTCATGTACTCTGGTCTAGTCCTTGGATTCTTATTCTTGCATGGGGTTTAGAGATCTTCATGAAATCGTTTTTTACATGTAGCTGAAAGAATCGTCATTTAGTTAGAAAATGTGTTGCAAATTATGACTATTCTATGAATTCTAAGCGTCAACTAAAAAGTTACGTAAGAGAAGTTACTATCCAAATATATGGTCAAATGAGGTTTTAAGATGCGTGGAGTCTTTTTTGAACCATGAGGCTCCAATATTTTATTCCAACCACTTTGAGCTATCTCACTTGGATTTTATACTTTTAGTAGCCTTTCGGTTTCTTATTTATGAATTATGTGAAATTTATTAATTGAATTTGCTAATGCCAAACCACAATATAGCTACTCTAATACAGGAAAAATCAAGGTGCAGAAACTTATTCACTTCATTTGTTCTGTTTGTTCAACCCAGCTTCTCTGACAAAGTTCATGTGGGTTCAGATAATATCTTTGGAAATTTGTCAGACATACGTAAGACTCTCACTGGTGACCAACCCCGTGATAGGCTCGTGCACATTGTAGAGAAACTCCAGTGTTGTGCCCATGGCCAGGAGGGGGTCGCCATCCGTGTATCTGGCTCGTTTGTTGTTGGTGGCCACTTTACAATATGTGGAAATGGGGTTAATGTGGAAGGTGCTCCAAGTTTCCAAGATCTTTCTATTGATGTTGAGAGTCAAAAGATGGGGAAATTTTATGAACAATTTATCATGGAACCTGGTGCAGCCATTGGATGCTTCACTATTGCAAAGCAAGAGTTGTATGTACTCCAATGAGTGGTCTATTTATTTATCCCACTTTGAAGGCCAGCATTTTTCAGACGATGAACTTTTTATGGTTTGGTACTGATTCCATGTGAAGTTGACGTTTAGTAGTAGCAGCTGTTTATGACCAAGTTCTATGGAATTTGAATTTGAGGCACTTTATGGGTGCCTGAGTCTTCATCCACTGAATGTGCTGTTATGTTTGTATATACAAACTACTTGGTGGCATTTCATTGTAGAAAATTTGAAAGGTCTGATCGTGTAAAATTAATTTGCAATAAGTTTTTGTATCTTATGCCAACTGACAAAGATGTCAAAAGACATTCTGCTTTTCTGTTTTCTGAAGTATAGGGTTCTTTTACCTAAGTAGAGCTATTTGATGATTGGTAGAAGAGTAAGGGCTCTGAGCGAGTCACTATGAATAATTGTGGAGATCCAATTCGATTGAGATGGATGTATTTGTTAAGACTCTAAATTCAACGACAAATGACACATTGCAGAAACCATTTTCACAAAATAGCGTGGTGTGCCACTAAAAGTTGGTGCATTCAGGGCATCATTGGTTAGGTTATGATAAATAGCGTGGTGTGCCACTAAAAGTTGGTGGTGCATTCGGCAAATCAATAACTTGGTACTAAACAGGCTTTAATTAAAGGGTGCGGTTTATAGAAGGCTGCAAACTTAAATAATCCAAATAAGACGCACCTTAAAATTTTATCTTAACATGTAATTTTGTTGTAAAGAATTCTTTCATAAATCCAAAAATGGTCAAAATTAAGATCTATAAATATATGAAAATTTGAAAATTGACGGTCTCGATAATGTATTGTAAGATGTACTATTTTCAGGACTCAACAACTTTTTTTTTTTTTCATATTCAAACATCTCGATGTCGAGATGATCGATTATAGGGTTTTGTCAACATTAAAACAACATTTCCTATAGATTTTTGAGGTGCATATGTGATTCTACATTTTAATGTTACAATCTTATTAAAACTTTTCCTTTTATTAAAATAAGGAAAAATTGTGTAGGACCCTATTGGGTGTGTTTATTACGGAATGGGTCTAGTTGTTTTAAAAATTATGCCCACCTCCCTTCCCTAGGAGGGCCTTTGCCTCCCAATCCCCAATTTTCCCTCTGTCCGGCATGTCAACACCAACAACACCAGACAGGAGAGAAACCAAACAAACACTCACTTGCGTACCATATATTGTGCTCCCATGGGAGAGAATTGTGCATCTACTCCCTCCATCAAAAGACCTAGCTATATTGATTTATTTTACTCTAAATTTTTTGGAACTATATAAAAATTATTTGGTGATTATTTTTAAAAGAAAAAAAATTGAATTTTTAGTTTTGTGACACTTATATCTAGTTCTGAAATTAGATGTTTTTTTGGTTCAATCTTGAGCAGTCGTTTTTTGCTAGTATATAAAGAGTTTTTTTTTTTTCTGAGAGTATTCTATGGGTTATAGACATCACATACCCAAATTTTGAGACCTTAAAAGTATACCTAACACGTATTTTGCCTGAAGGAGTAAATGAATAATTTACTTTCGCGGGACTAGAAAATCTTTTAATACCATTTTGACTTAAGAAAAGAAGACGAGGAGAAGATTTTTTTTGGAGAGACTTTGGAGGAGAGACAAATAAAGAGAACATCTTTTTCTATTGCTTTAGGATCCTTTTCAGGTGTTTAGCCCAGTTGTTTTATTTTTCAATGCTCGAGGTTCCTTTTGGAATTTCAGTCCAGCAATTTTTTTTTTCTTTTCTCTCTCTCTCTCTTTCTCTATCTCTCTCTCTCTTACTTTTAAAAAAAACGAAAGAGGAGGTGGAGAAGAAGAGTCGGTGATGCTTTTCCTTCTTGGTACTTTATTTTAAAAACATATTAGATCTTGATCATATTCTTCATTACTCCATTTGGCATAAAGGTTCTAATATTTGTTATATTTGGATTTTCCTTGACCTTGGTTGATGTCCAACACTTCATTGACAGAAGTTGCTAAATTCTCATTGAGGTTTTCCTCTTTGATTTTGCTTCACCCGGACTTTGATTGTCAAATTTGGAGTCACTCTCAACTTCTTAGTCCTTCAATCTCCTGTTGGGTTGGCTAAGCTCATTAAATTTTTTCCCCTTAAATGGGCGACTCCTCTCTCTCTCTCTCTCTCTCTCTCTCTTTTAATTCCTGAGGCTGTTACGGAGTTGGGCCTTAAGCAACGTGTGGATGTCCCACTTGACTACTTAAAAGGGAGGAGCAAACGATCACCCTACTACTGTTTGATGATTTTTTTTGTCTAGAACTTCATATTTTTCTTAGAGAGATAATGACCTTGGGTTATTTTGAGAGTCGTTAGATAAAGCATGAGCCACACTAATTGTCCCTGTTATATTATAATAATTGAATTGGTGCGTCTATCAAGTTGTTTTGGTGGGGCTGCCCCATACGGTTCTTTTCATCAGATGAGACTGTTCCTATCAGAATATTAGATGAGATCGCCTCAATTATATTTTTATAGCTAAGATTGCCCCCATTGGTATGTTGGATGGGACACCCTTTCTATTGTTTTCAGCATATGTATTGATCATCAAGCTGGTGGATGAAACTGCTCATGTTTGTTCTTCTTTGACATTTTATGTTTCAAGGGCTAGATTTTCTTGAGACTGGGATGCCCCAGTTAACGGAGTTGTACCCCTACCCTTGTTTTCTTCTTGGAGGTTTTGCATCTCAGATATGCGGACCATTCAAGAAATCCTGCAAAATAGCTCATTTGGTCCCCTAGAATCTAGGGGTTCGATTTCTTCTAAGTCTCGTAAATATGTTGATTATTCGAGAATGGTCAAATCTGGACCTTTTGCTTCTTCTGTATTATTAGATCAGCCTTAGATGATGATGTTTTTCACTCTTCTAGGCTCAACTCCTCGTCCCAAATCGGTGGGTTTGCCAAGATGTCGAGTGAAGGTAGCCTAGGTGGACCTCTTAGGATTTCTAGAGGCTTAATTCCTTTCATCCATGCATAGAAGGATCTTCTTTTGGGTTTACCTTAGAGGAGAATCTAAATGAATTTTATAGTCTTGGCTCCTTGTTTATTCTTGAATTATATTTTTGAGAATAAGGCATTCCCCATTACTATAGTTTTTGGAATCCCTAACCTTGGGACTTCGATTGAGCTCATTGATGATTTGCGCCTCTTGTGGGTCGCCTATTACATTTATTTAAACCATTAGATCGACTAGCTCTTCCTTTATTGTTACACGTATCACAGAGATATCTTGGAACTTTTGTGAGCCTATATCTTCAACTTGAATTGATACTCTCAATGAATTTTCTTCCTTTTCTTGATTTTTGGATCCTGAGGTAAGGCTATTCCCGTCATTGTGAATTTGAGAATCCTTTGATGCAGTTGGATTTTCTGCCCCCTGTTCACTTTTTAAGACGTCTTGGATCTTTTGTGGATCTATGTCTTCAACAACGATTGGAATTCTGTTGCAAAATTTCTATTTCCTTTCTTTAGTTTCAGATCCGAGGCTTAGGCCATCCTCATCGTGGTTGTGAGGATCCCTAGCCTTATGGTCTTGTGTGAGCTTATGCTGGCACCTATCATATTCTGATGGACAACTTGAACATTTTGTGGATTTGATTCATTATCTTTCATATGTGAATCGATTATCATATTTCTTGGAAGAACAAATTAACTGGTTTGTATTCCCATGTTTTATTATCAATAATGTGCATATCTTGACTTTCATGTGGGTTGGTGCTTTCAACTGTGATTAGAACTCTTTGTGGAGCAGTTTGTTCTTTTGTTCTCTCCTAGATCATGAACCTTGGGCTAAGGCAATCCTTGGCATTTTGTTTTTGAGATTCCCTAGCCACAGGGTTTTGAGTGAGCTCATACTCATCAGGTACTTTTTCCATGGGGTGGATGATTTGGTCCCTATATGGTTTCATGTCTTTGGCTTGTATTACTTCCTCCTTTGAGTGGCAAACGTTGTTAGGATGCAAACTCTAAAAGATCTCCACACTAGTTTCTATTATCAAGGTAGTATGCACCTTTTGTAGGTTGGACTCTTCTAATTCTATAGAAGCGCCCCATGGAATAGTTACCTCTTTGGTTTCGTTGTGAATTATAGTCCCAGAGCTAAAACAATTATCATAATTTAGTTTCTGAAGTTCCCTAGCAATATGGGATTGAGTTTTATCATTTTGATATTTATTTACTAAATTTTATGATTGGTTTCTTCTTGTGCCCCAAGGCCCTACGGGATGATCCTCTAGCTTAGGCAGGGATCCTAGCTTATTGGTCTCTACTATGGCCTTTTGCTCTTCAAGTGACAAGGTGGCATCATCTAGGTTTGAATTGATAGGGATGTCCTTTTCGCTAATTTCCTCTGTAACAGTTAGGATACCTTTATCAATGAAATCTTAGATGATGTGCCTAAGAGCAAGGCATTCCTCAATATCATGGGTGTGGTTTTGATGCAATTGGCACCACTGACTTATATCCAATTTGCAAATGAGGAATCCAAGCCGAAGGTAATTCGAGGAGTATGTTTTCGAGCAGTAAGTTTAGAACATTACTCATCGAATCCTTGAAATGAGTGAACTTTGAGCATATAGTACATTGAGTCTGATATGTATAAAAGTGAGCATTGTTTGTATCCTAAGCTATTTCAAAGATGATTTAGACTTGGATGAGATTTTAGCTGATTTATTATTAGTTTATTAAGTTATCCACTAATTGGAGTTTCGTCTTGACTAGGCTCTTGTTTTGAATGGGTCCTATTTCTATCCGTAAGCCATTCTGAGGACGATTCTGACTTAGGATAGGTTTCAGACTCTTTAATTATTATCTCATTAGAGTGACTCTCAGATGAGTCTTCATTGTAGTTAGGCTCTTTCCCCAAGATTACTTCATTTGGCACTTGATCCAATATGGCTAGCAATTGATCTTGAGCCCTTTCCTTTTCTATCTCATAACGAGAGACCATTTTGAGCATTGAGTCAAAAGAGAAAGGCCGAATGCTTTTGCTGAAATAAATTTTGTATTTAGGAGATGCATTTTCTATGGCCTTACTGATTTGAGAAGAATAAGAGAGTGTGCAATCAATAACCTTCGATGCAACATCTCTGAATCAACGAGCAAAGTCCGTAAACGACTCATCAGGATTTTGCCCGGCAGAGCCTAATTCCCCAAGAGTTACGAGTCGGTGCTTAATCCTGGGATATTGCTCAATGAATTGCTGAAATAGTTCATATGGAGTTTAGTCAGGATATTTAGTAACCACCTCTCGGAACCAGGTCAAGGGCTGTCTAGAGAGGGTGTATTGGAACATCGC